TGTGAGCAGCGAAGCCTGGAGGAGCATTGGATACGATGGCAAACCTCCCGTCACGGGGAGAACCCAGCCCGGACCTCGCAACAAACGAGATGGTGCCAGGCTCTCAGCGTGCAGTGTTGGCAAGTGAGGGCAGAGATCGAGCTGCCATCCACATCCACCCACCGCAGCCCCTCACGATGGCTCGTGCCCACCCTGTCACCAAGCACCGCACATAACACTGTGGAGAGCTGGCTGCAGCACAGCCATGAGCACGGCTGTCATAGCATTCATGAGGAAGGTCTCCAAGCTACAGCTGACGTGCGCATACCTCTGCACTGCCGTCTTCCAAGGACACTTCTCCGGTCCTTGTACCCACCATCGAGTAGAGGCAAGGTCTGAGCCACTCCCCTGCCCCTGCATGATTTACGCTCCTGACCCTCCACGGCTGCCTTAAATGAAAACATGAATGGATCTTCAAAACACTCTCTTGGCGATAACTAGTTTCTCCTGATAGCTTCAGATTTGACAAGTGACGACCAAGGATACCCGAGAGAGGTACATTACATGGTATTACATGATGCTGATGCTGGCTATGCTCACCAGGTCCGGGCAGCTCCCTGGGGACAGCCCCCAGCACCAAGACCCTCTTCCCGCTGACGCTGAGCAGACGCTTGCTCCATCCATCCCCCGCTGAGCTCTCCCGTGTGGCTGAACCCCCAGCTACCATCTGACAGTGCTGCTGGGATCACTCGCACCCTGCAGCCTTGGAGCCGTTTTCTGAACCGCGTACCCTCACCAGCAGAAGGAAAAGATCATCTCCAGCCCCACACACCCGGGAAGCCCTCTGACCGTGGCTCCTGTCAACCCAGCTCCCAGCTGAGCCCCGCGGGGCCGGGGCAGAGGCCGGCCCTCGCAGCAGCCTGGGCGGGAGAGCTGCAGGATGGGCTGCACCAGGCTCTGCAGAGAAGTGCAGGTTTGCGCTTCCCAGCTGTCGCCTGCTTTTTGCAGCACAAGGCAGTTCTGGGCCAGCACTCGGAGAGTTACTGATTTGCAGGAAAGGTGCAAACAATGATCTTGGGTCACACTTTGTAATGGCCTGATGCAAACTTTGCAATGGCCTGATGCAAACTTTGCAACAAGACCCTGGAGGAGACAAGCGGGAGCATCCTGAAACCACAGGACACTCTCCCAGAGCCAGGCAGAGGGGAGCAGCATAGCTCCTGGGGCAGCCCTGGAGCATGTCCATCCCAGCATCGGCCAAACCGGCACCCTAGGGCACACAGTGGGTCTGAGGGCAGTGAGGTACCAACAGTGTAGTGCCACACACAGGCTCAGCCAGCCCTTCCCGGCAGTCAGCATCAGCAGCCTCCCTGGAGATCAGCTCGCCTGCCCACAGTTCGGTGTGAGGGGCCCAGGACCAGCTCAGCACCTCTGCATTGCACTGCGCTTCCAGCCCCCAGCACTGCTCCGTGGGAACCGGGCATCCGCACAGCCACAATGCCAACGCGCCCAAAGGAAATCCAGTCCCACGACTCATAACTGCACATGCGCCAGCCGCACGCCCCGCCATGCTCTTGGTGCTTGTGCTGAGGGGGTTCGGCACCCCGGCACCGCCCGCCCTTACCCCACACCCCATCTCTACCCCGGGGTTCACGGCATCGGCTCACAGGTCCCATGGGAACCGCGGAGCTGCTCTCCCGCCCTCCGGTTTCCAGCTCTGCGCAGTGCGAGTGTCTGGGGCCAGGGAGCCTCCGAAGCTCTATTTTTATTGTCAAATACTGCAGCATACTTTTCTCCATCTCCTCTGGGGCCTTCCCTTCCTTTCTGCATTTTTTCCCCTCCTATCTTTCCTTTTAAAAATTCCTATAAAGAAATAAAAAAATGCACAGCTGTTCTGGACGATGTAAATAGGAGGCTGTGGACTAGCCTGCTCCTTCCCAAGGCGGATCTGAATCAGCCGCCTGCAAACCGTGCTCACAGGAATCTGCAGCTTTCTGCTTCTCCCTGCTTTCTGCAAACCACCACCCCAGGTCAGGAAGCCAGACTTGTTTGCACAAAGTTCCATAGTGAGATCAATAAGGTGCTATTTTTACTGATTTCTGTGAAAACACCTTAATGCTCTGACAATAAAAGAGCCCTCAGGAAGCAGCTACCACTCCCTGCTTCGGCACCTCCACCCACGCTGGGACCCCACCATCACGGGGGCCAGAGCTCAGCTGGCCGCCCCAGGGAGCCTCCTCAGTGACCACTGCCATCTGCACACCCGCCCCTAGCAGGCACCAAGGCGGATGGCATCTTTTTTTTTAATCTTTGCTGACAATTACAGGCAGTCAACTCAAAAGCCACCATCAGATCGGCATTAAGTGGCCCAGCCGTGGATACTTCACGCACAGCGCTGAGGACCAAGACTAAAGACGGCAACTGCTCCATGCCAGAAGCAAGGAGCACTGTGCCGGTCGCAGCTGGGGAGGAGGGAGGAGCAGGGCACGAACATGCCCCATCTGCAGGCGTAAGTACGTTGTTTCTCTTCTGCTTGGATGCTGCTTCATGAACGCTCTTTGCTAACTCGGTCCTGGCATCTTTCAGCCACTCCAGATCTGAAGGCTTTGACTGCACCAAGCTCCGGGTGAGCAGGACCTGGAAACACAGCAGGGATCCTCCTCCCACCGAAATCCCTGGGATACCTCCGCAGGGACCTCGGGAGACACGGCTGTTGGTCCTTCCAGTGATATGGAAGTGCCAAGCGTCCCTGGAGAGCCGGAGCACGCGCAGAGAGGCACTCACTACAACCAAGGCCAAGCCTGACGCCAGATACAGCTGCCGACGCCATCTGGTCCCATGGATTCAGCTCAGTGGGTATTTGTCTTTTCACAGACACGTATAATGAGCTTTTGAATTTTAAAGCGATAGGTAAGCATAGTGTAATTTTAAAACCAATTAAAAGAATGTACTGAATAAGAGTTAGGCTTTCCCTTAGGGCAAAGGGTTTATTTTAATTAAAAAAAACCATCAAGATGAGCACTTGAAAAAGTAAACATTTAAGAAATGTATATTCACACAAAGATCACGTGTCTCTCACAGCAATCACACAAATGAACACCATCCTTCCTCATCAATGCCAAAGCAACTTCCTATTGCACTACCTTTTTAAGGGGGCAATTTTAACAGACTAAAGAGAAGCCTGGCATAGTAAAAAAAAACAACAAAAAAACCAAAAAACCAAACAAAACCCCCACCTTTTTTAAAAAAAGCCCTTTTTAATAGCAAGGCCTTCACTGAAGTTGAACAAACAACTCAAGACTGGATGTCTTTTGAAAAGCTCATCCAGGAGTTCATAGGCATGATTCATGAAACACTAGGTGAAATTCTACAGTCGGTCTCATGAAAAGGCTCGGCGCCGATAATCAGTTCCCCTTGACCTTCAAATTTATGAGTCTGCAAAAAGTTAGCTTTGTAGCTTACAGATGCAGCATCTGTCTCCCCAGCTAGGGATGGCTGCAGCCAGCACCACGGCAAATTTCTGTCTCCCCACAAGGACACATTTCCACATGAACCGGTATAAATGTGAAACAGGGCCTGTAAAAGCACCCACAGGCCAAATTCAGTATTAACCCTGAAGTTGCTTATTGCTGCAAATTACTAATCTGATGTCTCTTAGCAGATATGGAAACGGCTGAAGTGAAAGGATAAGGAGAAAAGGAGTGGAAAATTAACTTCCCCAAGCCTTTTCTTCCAGCAGAGACTGAAGAAAGCACTTTGCTCACCCCATGACACTGCCGGCGGCTGCAGCATCGCCCCCGGTCCTGTTCATTCGTTCTGCGTGGTCACCAACGCCACACAGGACAGCATTTCCCGGCTCTCCCTGGGCTGCGAGACCAAAGGGGGTTATGACTTACAGCCTCATACAGGGGATATTTGAGGAAAGAAAAGGGAGCTGCAGCGCTCCAGATCTAAATCAAGAAGAAAACAGAATGTGCTTTTTTATGGCAGGATCTACACAGAAATTCAGGGGTGGGAGGAATCCATTCCCACACCCAAAAAATTAGTTTTGCTGGTTTGTTTTCTTCTTGGAGGCAAACAGCAGCAGCAGCGGAGGGGACGGGGGCCCTGCTCATCTCCATGCATTCATCCCTGCAGACCCCGGGTGACGGGACGGGTGCCACGGGGCAGGGAACGGGGCTGGCTGTGGCACGGCGGCGCAGTGGGCAGGAGGGAAGCCCAGGCTGACCAGACAGCCCCCAACCCACAGCCATGACGGAACCACAGCAAGACTCTCGCGTGCAATGCCAGGGACGCTCCCCAAGGCAGCTGCCCCCGCCAGCCCCGGCTGCCGCCCAGCCCATCCTGCACGGCCGCTGCCCGAAGCCCTTTCTAAGGAACTTCTCCATCTGCTTCCTGGGGCTGGAGAAAGCTGCTGCTGTAAGACAGTTGGTTTCAATTCCTCACCAATTTCTCCACGCCAAGGGGAACCACCTGGGGCACAAACTCATCACCCAGCCATAATTCTCACCCACGCTTGGGTGGCTCGAGAGATTTCCAAAACAGCCATAAAGCACATTTGATCCCAGCAGTGAGGGGCCATAGGAAGCCCCACTCACCAGCCCTTATGGCTCACGTTGGGGAGGAGCAAGAAGAACAGATCAGACGCTGTAATGTTCCACTCATCTTAGTGCCGGGTTTCAGCGGTGGATCTGCTGGTACCACCGCTGTCCTGTGCACGCACACTTCCACCATAAACCATTTCATGGGAGCTCCAACTGCTACAAGTTTGTTGGGTTTTGTCCTCATTTTGATGGCGCATGGTGATGGTGAAGGCTAGGCAAAGGCTAGCTCTGCCATGGATGACCTGCCTGCCCCGAGCCCTGGGGGGAGGCACACCTCCCTGCTTCACCCCGGTTTAGACAAAGACAAGCTGTTCTGTCTAAGCCCGAGACCTGCGCTGTCCCTGACCCGGCTGCTGCCCACGGGAAGGCTCTGCTCTGCGGTCGGCGAGCGCGGTGCCGACCTCCTGCAGAGACACCTCCTGCCAAAGGCCTTCCCGGCAGCGTCACTGACACCAGCCACCGCTCAGGGAAACCTGATCTTTTTGCCATTTTAAACTGTATGTGAATCAGTAACGCTGCCCACATTCATTTCTAAATATAAGAGAAACCTGAAGTTGTAAGCACAGTCTGGCTCAGCAGTTCACGAGGGTTGGATCCGAACACGAGTGTTTGAGTGGAGTGGTGCCGCTACCAGCAGGAGGCCAGAGCCTCGAGGGGCAGCCCAGAACAGGAGGGGATTTGACCACGGACACGTTTCCATTTGACACCGAGTTTACAGACCGCCTGAACGCTGGGACTGTCGAAGATGGTTTAATCACCTGCGATTCAGAGAAAGATATGGAGTCACAGGTTTGCAAAGCATCCTGGTAATCGATGGCATGGGAGATCCCCAAGGGGGGTGACGCTTCCAGCACCCACCGGGCCGGCCGAGCAGGAACCCCCGGCACACACTCACCTCTGATGAGGCTTCCAGCACCAACAACTAATGAAGACGTGCCAGGACAAAGTAAAACCACCGACAATATATCACCGCATTATGAGACACGAGGTCGACAGCTGAGTGGCTTCAGTCACTGAGGAGATAATGGATGCTGGATGGCATCCAAAAATTTGAATCCCTCCCAGCTCCAGAGAGCTCTTAAACCAAGCAAGTTTTGCCATCTGTCACAGCCCCGCCGCCTCGACCCAGAACTGACACAGCCTGAAATCGCCCTTGTGAGAAGAAAACAGGACCCATTGCTCTGCTAGCTCGCGAGATGATGCACACCGGCACGAAAAGCATAAGCAGAGGACCTGGCATGTCAGAGCTACTGCGCCATGGGGCACCCAATCCCCAGCCTATTTTTATCGGTGGGCAGCAATGCTCTTTAACCGATGCTCTAACGCAATAGTGCCAAATGTGTGCGCCATGAGACAGCTCTGGCTTATCTGCTGTACTTGGGTGGCTAGCAGGACATATTCACATGCCCCAGAACCTATGCCAAACTTCTACTAATAAAAGAGTCAGTCACCAGCTCTTGTGACTGCAGCGAACTTTCCAAATGCCAGAGCAAAACTGGTGCAGAGAGGTCCCCTTGCGTCAGCCTCTGATTTAGAGCCTTACCCTTCTGTTTCCTAATTATTCCTGGATTATCAGTTTTGCATAGGTTAACGCTGACAACTGTAACAGCCACCATGGGCTTTGCTCAGTGAACCTCTTAACAGTGGGAGAAGAAGGAGGAATTGGGAGAGGAGAAGGAAAGATGTTGAAAGTGAAACATAACGGATTACAACTTTTTGCACGGAGAAATACACAGAGAAAGGAGCACTGGCATTTTGTGAAGGCAAGGAAAAGGCAGTCACATTGCAAAGGAATGACAATAAGCGAATGGAAAGAGGAAGAAGACCACAAATGTCACTCATTTCCCCCAAGGAGTAGCAAACACATTCATAAGGGCACTAATAAATTATTAAGCATTTGTTTCCTCATTACTACACCTATTTCATACATGGTTTTGCCAAGTCTGAGAACCATTAGATGGGACTGGCAGAGGACAGCTGCCGCTGCTCCACCCCAAGTGTGTTTTCTCAAAACAGTTCTTCAAATGCATGTCTCATGCATGTCTGGACAGACAGACTCCCGCAGGGCTGCAGCTGGGGGATGGAAATGCCGCCTGCTAGTTCAGGGGATGAAATGGTCTGTTTGATAAGGGCACAGAGAGCAGGGGTGGTTCTGCTGGAGGGGCCAAGGCCTGGAATGGTAGCGAAAAGACCAAAGAAGGGAACAGCTCGCATTTCTTTTTGGGTCAAGTATAACCCCTGGGCTACAGCTGACACAGAAACTGAGCTGGGAGTCAGGCTACAGATTCTCCAACGCAGACCAACAAGCATGAACACAGGGCTTTGCACGGCTATGGGGTGATGGAAACCCAACACCACTGACAAGGAACCACTCCAGGAAAAGTCAGCCATAGTGGTCCCAGACCTGCACCAGGAACAACTACCAGCTCGCTGGTAATAACAAGACCTGTTTGCTCCCGCACATTTTGGTGCTCAGATCAGACCCATGGGTATGCCAGTGCGGAGCACAAAGGCACTTGTAGCAAACACCACAGCCTCTCTCTTGCCATCGTATCGTTTCAGAGGTAGGGAGAGGTTTCTGAGGGCTGCTGGGCAGCTGCAGGGTGGCTACACACCAGGGCCAGTGCTCAAAGGAGCCCCACAATGTCAACACCAAGCTCTGCCATGGTGTGACCCGACACCTTCTCTCCTCCCGAGCACCCAGAACCGCAGGACCCGATGCCTCAGGCATGAGGGAAACGCATGCTTGAAAGGTCTGGGCAAGACCGTGTTAAAACAGGCACAAGAAGGTCCAAGGGGAAAGTAAGAAGAGCCACAGGCAGCATGCAACACGCAAGAGAAAATAATTAAAAAGTATTCTGGGAACAACGTGGCAGGTATGAGATTAAAAACCAAAGCTTTCAGCTATTTCTTTGAAGATTTTAGTTTGCATTTGGGAAGGCTGCCAAAATCCATAGCGCATGTGAGCACGACACCAGTGACTGCACCAGAAGACCTTTTAAAGCAATGTCCTACATGAGTCCTACCTTAGCAACCTGCCAGTGGTGCCCCGGGACCTCCTGGCCTCTAACAGCATGTGGTCCTAAGAGCACATTCACCACGATTAGGTACCCCGACAAGAGCCTCCATTCTCGGCTGTCAAGACTTCAAAGCAGCACAATCTACTTGCCTTTAACAAAATACGAAATACTTACCCATTAATATACTCAACAGCTTTTGAACTCTAGAGTTTACTCCAACGATTCGGTAGAGCCCTTGCTCATTGATCCCTAGGAAAAATAAAGAGCTTATTAGGAAAATGTCAAAAGAGTTACTAACATTTCTTTCATTTCTTTGGCTTCTCTAATAGCAAAAATAATTAAACTCTCTCACCAACTACCTACAAAATTATAGAAGAGGGTAAAATTTGGGTTTGATGTCATCCGGTCGCTAACAAGATAGCCCATCTGTATATAAATAGTCTTTGCAACGGAATTAGGGGAAGGATTGAAATGCAGATCTATTTGTTGTCCCACACGAGAGGAAATGCTTTGCAGTGGTACCGCACGAAGGGGTGCTCCAGTGAAGTCCCCAGCTTCGGTCCCTTCCCCCATTTAGCACGTCCAGTGCATTATTTCCTAATAATTTCTGCCCCTGATGTTTGCTGAACCCCCGCTAACCCTGGCCACAGAGCAAACGTATGTCTCAGCAAAGGCATGAGCCTGGGCATATTACAGGGTTTATCTAATGCGGGTCTCTGAGGGTTAATTAATCATTTTTGTTCATGAAAAGAGCAGGTAAGCAATTGCTATGCTACAAACAGCTGCAAGGCCGTCCCCCAGAACAAGACCATCTGGTGAACTGCTCTACCTCTTGTTTCGACAGCATGTATGCATTTCTTGATAATGCTGAAGCCGATATTATCCAACTGGGCAGCTGAAAGGGAAGAGAAAAGAGAAGTGATAAACACCTAGCAGAGGGATGGCTTCATGCTGAGCACAACGCTCAGCCCGCAGCCGCCGCTGACATTCACAGCAATACTGTACCACTGCTCAAACAAGGGGGGGAGGAAGGAGAAGGAGATAAATTAGGTGCTCATGGAGGAAAAGCACGAGTACAGTAGCTTGTACCAGGTGTAACCCAGGCAAGCGCAGAACACTAATCCGTCATTTCAGCCTCCGCATCCCTCTGAACTGGTACCTCCCACACCTGCCAAGCAGCAGAGCCCTGGGCTATGTCAGAGATTTACGCCTGCAGCTGGTCAAAACATTAATTTAGGATGAAGGTGAGATAACCCAAAGAGACCTTTGTCTTTGACAACAGGTTGTTTGGAAAAAAAGGGAATCTTATATGACACAACAAATCCTTGAAAGCGGCACGTGAGGCAGCTTGCTTGATGAGTCCCGGGTAATTCCTATAAATCCTGTCAGCTCTCCACCCAGCTAACCAAGCCATCTATGTGCTGGAGAGATGTCTTCATCTCCAGGCCATCTCCATCACCCCATACTTGGGACTGCCTGCATATGTGGGGTACAGAACTGACCTCCCAGGCTTTGCCTGGGGCAGCAGGGCAGGGGCTTTCAGTGCCTTGGATTTCTTCTTGGGGCTTTTGAGGTGGCTTTGTGCAGATGCAGGTTTTTTTCAAGGACAAGCCATATGACAGTTTAGAGCATTAAAAAGTGATGGTAAAAGGAGAACTGGGAAAGAAATGAGTGGAAGAGAGAAGCAGGAGATAACTGTGAGCAGCAATAGCTTTCTGTGAAGGAAAATGGAGCAAAGAAATCAAAAAAAAGGTAAAAGCATGGAGGCAAAAACATAACACGAAGAGGAGAGAGCTGACGGCATGTGGCAGTGGAAGTGCAACAGGGACTGGGAGATGGGAACGCACTTCAGGTGAAATCTCTGTCCAAAGTGTCTCCTGTGCCCAGCGGGAGGGGACCCGTCCCGGGGGAGCCAGCCAGCGCCAGCCCCGGCCCCCACCCATGCTTGCACCCTGCCTACACCACACTTGAGGCAGACACTCCTGCCCCCCCGGCAATGCAAAAGCCCAGCTAAACAATATTGTCTCATGAACACTATACATTACATCCCATTTACCCTCACTTTATGCACAGTTCAAGAACAGCCCCTTCTTTTATTAGCACAAATGAAATATTTATTTGGTGCAAATTAGGATGTCCTGAAGGCAGCTGACTCTGCACGAGAGTAAGATCTAAAACATTCAAGTTAATGGAATGTAAAACTCAATTAACTCATGCCGTTGCAGGTTTTCACATTTAATTTCAAGGAACTACTAATACGCGGATCCAAATACCTGCTGGAATAATTCATCCCTTTTAGTCAGCTTTCCACCACTGCGTGGGAAACACTGCCTGCAGACAGCTCTTTGTTAAGGAACACTACTTCCTCCCTGTATAAAGGTTTGGGAAACCTTTCATATGGCAGAAGCCCCACAGAGAAGGGTGTGCAAAGTCACCCTGGGCTCCAGGGCTGGGATGAGCATCCTGGGCAGAGGCCGCGGGAGGCAGGGCACGCAGCCTGCCCGCCTCCCTCGTGCCACCTCGAGCCAAACCTCCGCTGCCGGCCTTTTGTCCCAGCTGATCCTCAAGCTGCGGGGATGCATCTGCCCCTGCCGCCATCCCGCCTCCCGTGGCAGCACGGACCCAGCAGACAGGAGAGGCATCACCAGGGACTGGGGTAGAGCCACCAAACCGCTCTGGTCCCCAGCTGCCACAGGGAATGTGCAGGATTTTCCCAGCAGCACCTGACAGAGGATCGTACAGCACGGCTGCGTACAGCACGACTGCGCGGTTTAAGATGTTGAACTCTGAAAGGTAGAAAAGGCGTAGCGTTAGCTTAAAAGCAGATGACTTTACATCTGCACAGACTTGAAGGAA